CAGGAAGGAAAAGAAAGTCACAAATGTAACATTATTTTACATTACATTTTCCTTTAACAAAAGGAGTTAAGTGAATTTTATCAGTCTCAATACTCACCAGATCTTAACAAAAAAATTGTGATGTGCTGAAAAAGAAGATTCACTTTCTGAATTCAAAAGTCAACAGATATTCAAACTCATACATTTGTCTGTTATTTCCATTCACCACTCTCTAGTTCCAACAAGAAGACAGTGTCAATCACTAACAAATATTTTTGGGGGAAAAAAAATTCACTATATGTGCAGAGCTCTTACTTGCTACTTCAAAAAAAGCACAGTCTACGAAGCGACTCATGTTAACAATTCACTGGAGGTATAACTGATCATAAGTCAAATAAACCCTGGAGTCTGAAAAGTTTTCAAAGACTCACTCACTGCTTTAACTAGTGTCTTTAACTATCTGTCAGCTGATAGTCAACTATCAGCTGACAGATAGTCGACTTTCTGTGGCCACAAACTGACAAATCTAATGAAGTTATCTCGGGTCGTCCTAGCCGTCTTTCCTTCTGCTGCAAGATTATTTCATTGACTGACTGAGCTAAGCTCGAAAGCACTGTTGGGCCTGGGCAGGTTCAGGTCCAAAACCGTCCAAACAGGATCCCAGTCTTCTGACTTGCTGTTAATCATTGTCTGCTGTGTACAGTGGAAAAATTACTTAGTGAAACAAAATTATTATAAACAGGAAATCTTCCAGTATAAAAACACACTGTTCTCACGATAACAGTAATTATTATGCTAAAACACCTCCAGTTAACAGACATAAAGGTTGACTTATAATTCCTGTTGATCTATTTAATGGATATTTTCAGAAACGTAGGCATAACCTTGCCCTGTCAGAACACCTTAAACAAATACACATTAATTTTCTGTTGATTTATAAAAAAAAAAACATGTCTTACTGATAATACATCAGTCTTTGTATTTCCCAGATTTACGGCTGAAATCCACCGTCATTATTATTTCAAGTCTGTTTATATGACAACTCATTTTTGACTTTTTCCACAAACGTTTCTGTTTATTATTAGTATTTCACTGACAAAAGAAATGCTGATCCAGACAGCAACTATCACTGGATAAACATGATAAAAAGGGCTCTGCTGTGCAGTTCCTTTGTTTCAAAAAGTACTTTTTACAGTTTTCTTCTCACAATATGATGTGACGGGTTGGTTTGACATGAATGATAATATATGTAATCTACAAGATATGTGCAACGAAATGTGATTCTTTTTTTTTCCCCAGAGGTTTGCGGGTCATTTTCTCTTGAGGTTTTCCCTGCACGCCATTAGGACAGAGTTTTTGATTAAACAAGACAATCTCAGGTAGGCTGTAGCAATTAGTCATTCTGGCAGCTTGTAGATTTTAGTATTTTAATAATATAGTGAAAATAAAATACAGAAAATTGGTTTTGAAATATCCTAATGTTTAATGAATGGGTGATGCAGTGATCAGCAAAAAATGGGTACAGTAAAACTATGAAGGAAGGGGACGAAAATCCTGCTACTCCAAAACAGGTCTGTCTGGGACATGGCACAGTCCAATCAAACTGCTGTTACAGAGATGCAGATACTGTTATCACATAGAAGTAAAAGAAATGCAAGGGGAAAGAACAATTCCTCTTAGTTTTAGCTATGACCCACTGATCGAAGTTCAAAATGGAAGCACCACCACTTGTGCAGAGCCGGGCCTGATTGTGACTTCCACCTTTCTTAAATCTGGAGGGTGGACTGGTTTTTTTATGTATGCTTTTTTTCCTTTTTCAGTTGATTTTCAAATCTTCTTTAGAGTGCACTCATACAGCGTAGAGTTCATAGATCTTCTTGGCGCAGTACGCCAGGGCAGCCAGTGCTATCGTATTATGGAGTCTCTTTCTGTGGATATCATCCCTACGTACCAACACCACGGGCGTCGAGGAGGTGAGTGTATGCAGGGGCAGCCGTGAGAGTTTTTGGCTGTCGTACTCAACCTGGTACTTGCAGCAGGGGTCAAACTGCCAGGAAATCCCGTAGAGGGCAGCACAGGCCACACTGAGTGCGCCAGCAGGCAATGCCATGTAGCGCGAGTATTCAGCAGGCAGCGAAAGAGGCGTCAAGAGGCAAGCGGAGCCTGACAACACGGCCGTCTTGTGCAGGCAGTTGCCGACTGTAATCCAACGAGCCGTCTCGTCTCCGATGCGCGTGGGCTCTATAACAATGTATTTATACTGGGCCTCCAGTGCTTGTTCCAACTCATACTCAAACTGGTCCTGTGCATTTTCACCGTTGTAGATCTCATGCACAATGTAGCAGTCTGTAGCTGCCATCACTCCCCTGCACATGCAATGACAGGGGGTAGAGAAACATATTAGTGCACTGACATCCATGCATTAAAGAAATATTTTTTCCCTATTTTTGAGGAACACAAAATCTCTCAATTGATATTTTTTCCAGGCATATTATGATTATCCCTGAATAATGCTCTACAGGAGTATACCTGACCATTTTCGTTCAAACATCAACCTTTCTTCTCAATTTTGTACTAATGGTACTAAAATGGTAATGGTACTCTTACTTACAATTGAACTCGTATTAATCATAAACACATGTGCATATGCACATGTGTTACAAGACCGGCACTGTTACAAGACCGCCAAATGTGGACTAAAAGAGGTATCGCACCTTTTCTCCCATGAGGCATTCAGCTGCTACAACCTCTGACCTATGTATATTCTTGGCACACTACACTTTACTGTACCTATCACCAACACATCTTACATGTTCAGTTGTTATTTAGGAAAAGATAGGTTGCGGTGCAAATTTTCTGCAGGAAACTTTTGGGGACATACAAAAATAAAAATTAAGACAAAAACTATATGTCAAGTGCAATATTAAATACTGCTTTTCTCTGATGCACTTAAAAGTACAATGCAATCTTTTGAGTTGCTTTAAGTTTAAGTTTGGTTGTTTAATAATGCATTCTATCGACCACTCTATCGACCTTTTTTGTGTGATTATGAAAATGCAAATCATGTTTAAAGAAACAAAGAAAACAAATTAGAGAAATTATAAAGATACGTGTCAGATTCAGACATGTGGCCCGAGGCCTTAGAGTCCATGGTGACTTCGTAAAAGGTTAACCATAACGACTTCATCGATAACATGTCTATATTATTTCAAAAACATTGGGACGTTGAACAACACCGCTAGGAATGTGTGACATTATCAATTCATAATCCATTATCCAGTGGGGAACATACTGGAACTAAATGAAGGTTACATAGGTTAAGCTTAGTTGCTGTGACGGTACAAAGTTAGAGTCAACAGCTAAGTTAAACACCGCTCGAGTTTGAGCAGGGATCGAAAAACACAGCGGACAGCAGTACATGTTTTCTCAGGACTAAGTAGCCCCGGGAGCCGAAGTTAATAACAACAGTGTCTTCAACAACTCTTGTCCAAACTAACCTCCTTCCACACTGTGAATCGGTTTGTGTGAAATAACCAAAACATCACATGAGCCCCTCTTTTGGTTCACCGCTAACGTTAGCTAGATATACGTGTTAGCCCGCTAATGTTAGCAAACCTCTGGATAAAACTCAGACTTGTCGCATTGACATTTAGCTTCAAAAGTCCTCGCCGGGTATTCATGTCGGAATACATTGATAATGATACACCAAAAGCGATGTGTGATTATCAGAAATGTTCGCATAACGTAAGGATATGGAGTAACTGACCTCTCCCTGCTTACTGGGACACCGCGCCTCCTTCCCAGCGACGCCATGTTGGTGATACAACCGTGATTGCTGTTGACGTATGACGGCGTCGAGGCCGTCTGGGTAATGTAGTTTATTGGTGTAGATGACGCATTATATAGCCTCAAATATGAACTACGTTTCCCATAGCGCAATTATGATTAGATAACCTGTCTAAATGCTGAAGTTTTGGGCCCAACATCTAAATAAATACACGGGAGTGTTTATTATACGTTCGTTAAAAAGTACCACACATTAATTAATGTTTTAATTGTATCCCGAGTCTGATTGGTGTTTAACAACATAGAACATTCATGATGCTGTGTAACTACTTTCATAAAATTGCGCGGTCAGGGTACAAAATGTCATTTTGCTGCTTCGTAATATTTAATATTTAAGTGTAAGACATGGCTCAAGGCCATGTCAGACCTATATTTAGCTACCGTTACCTTTAACCGACTCTCAAGCATTGTAATACAGTATATGTATCATATGTATCCACTGGGTGGCGACAATGTAAGCTCTTTTAAAGACGGACCAGCAAAACATGACACATAGCACGTACATCTCATTCAATGTTTTTAATTGTTTGTGAGTATATTTTCTTGTTTATGGCGCTCAAAAATTTAGGTTTATTGGGTAATTGAGGAGAAAATTAAAAGTGACCAAAATGGCTTTCGGTCATTAAAATTCTTGTCGCAAGAAGAAGGTTTTATGAGTGATTTTATTTTTTTTATTTTACAATTCTGAATGGTTTCTTTTCCTGGATAAGTTTTAGGATTTATTTTTAGTTAGTTTTTTATCTTCTTCTGGGAAACCGTTTGCAATCTTCTGGCTAATTATTTAGATGTTATGATTAATTATTTGAAAAATAGTTTAATGTATCAATATTTCTTGCATTGTTTTCTTGAAGTTAGCGTTTAATATTTTTTTCCTGACTATCCAATTTCTTTTCCAAATGGTAGTAATTGTCGTAGTTTTAACATTCTTTTTATTTTAATGCATTTCTGACCACATATGTTGAATAAAGACATAACCATGCAATGATTATATGATTTATTCATTTCACAACAAGAATGCACAAGAAATTTGCAAATACAAAACAACAAAATAAGAAGCAGTGGATTCAAAACAAAACCACCTGACCCCGTGCTAATAATATATATATATATATATATATATATATTAAAAAAAACATTAGAAAATGAACCAAAACATAAGAGAAGAAAATAATAAGAAATAATACAATGTATAACTGAACACACAAATAAACCTGTGCCACCTGTAGTTTCATGGAGTCAGTATTTTCCTACAGTATCCTTGAGATAGTTTTAAAGGCTACATTAAACCACACACTGTGTCGGTCCTGGCAGTGTGCGATTAGTCATTGAAAGTATTTATCACCTCAACACTTGTGATTGTCAAGAACAATCCTGGAACTGCACCGTTACAAGTTTCCCTCCTGATTTATCATGTATTTGTGTAACATTTAACACATACAAAAGATAAAATGGTTGTGCTTTCAGAGCTTAGCCTCCTCTGTTTGTGTTCTTTGGTTTAAAAGTGCCTGAAACTTTGAACTTTCACTTCAACAGTTAACAGTATGTTTCTGTTACTGTTACCCACACAAATCTACAAAATAGAAAAATAAATTGTTTTTTTGTTTTTTATTTGACCAAAACCTACCAAAACTCTGTATATGCACACTTCCAGTTGCATATAAAAGAAACATTATGTTAGTTGACTACGTACTATTTTTATACCTAAATCATAATAAACACAAACCGGAAATTTGCCATGACTGGAAAACATATTAAAGTTATAGTTAAACCAAAATGGAAATTCTAAAACGTATCGTCATCATCAGAGTGTCAGTGATGCCATGACCTCATTTATCCAGTCCACTCTCAAGAAAGAAACCTGGGTCGCCCATCTTGTAGTGTTGTTTACAACCAGCTGATTGACAGAACAGAACATCTGTCAACATTCATCTCAAACACCTTCTCATCACACACCCTTCACAGTGCTTGGTTTCTATCCGAGGTTAGATTCTTTCGGTTGGTGCATTAAATCACATCCAGCGGACGTACACTGTTTGTAATGAACATATCCCTGCAGACCAATCACAGGTCCAGGGTTGAGTCTGCAGATCCAACAAAATCATTGGTCTGTGGTTTCACTCGTGGTTGTCCGTGACTGGAAGGTCCTTTCAGTGTTCACCAGCCTGTGACCTCAAAACAAGATGTTGCTGAGGTTGCTGCTGCCACCTCACAGTTTATTTTTTTAATTTCCTACATGACTCTTCTCTCTCTGAGTGATGTGGTGTCATTGGTATATGTGTTCAAAGTACTGAGGCTGAGGATTCTCTTTTACGTATTTCTGAATGTACCAGCAGGTCAAGTGCGCTTTTAGATCTTCTTCTACCACAAAATCCATGGCTGCCTGTTATCACACAAGCAAATAACAAGAAGAACAAATTTAAATTCAATAAAACATTTTGGTAACAATGTGAACTGAACCTTTAACTGGAAAGTTATGCAGGTATTTTCCCAAAAATACATCAAATACGATAGGTAGGAGTACTCACCTTTGCTAGGTGTTTGGCAATGCCTCTTCCTCTGTAGGCATCTGGAACTTCAGTGTGTTGCAAGTCCACAGTTTTTTTCCCAACGTATTCATAAAGAAGAACTGCACGGTCATGTGACCCTAAGGGCAGACAAAGAGTTTGAGAGTTTGTCTCCAAACCATTGAATGTCCTATGTTTTACAAACACCACACAATGGTGTGATAAAGTGATAAAATCCCATTTTTATAAAAATGGAAGACAGAATGCAGGGCTGGATATCAAACTTAACTTGGACCACCCAGGTTATTTAGTCTACTTTAAACAGCACTTTTCAATTTGCGTAAACATATCACATGTTGTCCAAACAGGTACAAACAAGTGCTTGAATGTAGCTGGGTGGGGAGACAGAGAATGATAAAGATCTTCCTCCACTGCACTGTCTCGAGAAACCATGTAAAGTATGTTGTTCTAATAGAAATACTGACATATGACGCCACACAGCAGACTGTCAACAATTAGCATAGGAAACAGACTGAAAGTTCACAGTCTCCATGTTTGGCTTTAATGCTTGCTGTCATTGTTTCTTTACACATTGAGGTAGCCACTGGGAACTATTCTCTTTATCAGTCTCATTTATTCCCCAGAATTGGGAATTGAGCCTAAGATACAGATCTATTATTAGAAATGGAGCAGTACACCCGCCTAACTTCCTTAAGTTCTACAATTGTTTTTTTTGCGAATTAAGTTAATTTCTCCCCTTTTTCTTATTTATGCACACCCACAATTTTGTAGTAAAATGTGTACAAACCTAACTCTAGTCATTACCCAAGAGCTTGGCCAAATGGCTCAACAGTGCCCCCTGTATTACTGTTGTTATTTTAAGAACATTTGTTGAAACAATTTTTTAACAACATAGTGTTTGATTAAATACTATACCGAACACACAACCCATTATTACACTGTCCTAAAACAGTTAACCAAGTCAGCTCGTCTTATTTACAAATATGCGGCTGTATTTAGCGGAGACTGAAAAAAAAGGTGTTTTTGACAAAGCAGTCTATGCAGTGATGTTTTGTTCTGTTCATCGTTGGGTAGAAGATGCAGAGAACAGGGCAATATGGAAATCAATGATTCGCTGTGGCAACCCCTGAAAAAAGGTCAAAGCCGAAAGAAAAAGAAGTCTATAAAACTGTTTTTTCACCGTAGATTGATGAAATGTGTAAATGTGACTAAAGATACGAGATGGTGTGAATGTTATCGGAGAGAAAACAAGTTGTTTGTAGAAGTTAATTCAAGGAAGTGAGATTTTGTGATCGAGTTTTGAAGTATGTTCAGCTCCTGACATTGAAACCATTGTCCCATCTTGACAATGACAGTTTGACCAGGATTAGTAGAACCACGTATGTCACAGTTAAAGAAAAAAAGAACAGCCCCCAGGTCTACGATGTCAGTCTCAGAGAATGAGAAAGAGCAGTTCTGGATTAGCATTTAGCCAGCTCCATGCTACTGTTTACATGTTGAACTCACCGTTGAGTCTGATGACGAACTGTCGTCGTTTCTTATCGTGTTCAACCTGGATCTGAGAGTTGTCCACGACCTGTGTTGCCTGCGCCATAACGACGTTCGTGTAAACGCTAAAAATAAGTTACTGGTGCGATACAAAACCAAAAAGTGTTAGCAAAAGCTAACGTGATGTCGCCAACGGCAAAGAAAAAAAAGACTACACTCCAGCCGAGGAAAATCAGCTGTGGTGTCACGTGACACCGGGCCAATCAGCGCTGGGGTTGCTCGATTGAAGTGGGGAGTGATGTCATTACGTAGTTATATTATTCGGACTTTTTTACGCACCTTATTCCGTGAGATCAGTGATACCCGTGATATCAGGTCTATGATAGTTATATGAAACGACATTAAATTAAACTTTAAGTTAATATAATACAATATAAAATATTTGAAACAACGTTAATTTTTGGGGGTATTTAGGTATTCTGTTTCCTTGGTATCATATTTCAACTTCTTACTTACTAATTTTCTATTAGACTAATGGTCCTCTAAATTAAACCAGTCGTCGTGGTAAAATAGTTATTTTAAAAACGGTTTATTACTGTCAATTTCTGCCATTAATGTTTAGGCATTTACAATATTTTTGTGTACAGGAACTTGACCAAATGAAGCTGCTGAATTTTGATTCTTCATCGTTTGGCTGGATTATACTAATAGAATATCATATAGATGCAAATGCAATTTAATCATCTGGCATATATTTGTTTAAAGCTCTTTTTTATAATGACTGCTTTTTACACAAAACACAAAATGGTGTTTCCTGTTTGTAAATAGTCACTTTTTGAGACATTTAAATGTGTTAAGCATCATCTAGAAACTTGTAAAATGTTTAGTTTGGTCTCTACCAACTGGACTACACAATAAGCACAAAAACTCTGTGTGGGAACACAATTAGTTCAGTTTTTATAAATGATGAACAGTATATATGATATCTTTATCTACTGTACATCTATTGCATTCAGTTTTTTAGGACAATTGCAGTTCATTTTCAGTGTTGGTGTTACAGCAGGCGAACACTGTAGCTGCAGCTGTAGGATTATCTCAGGTCACGGTCTCGGTGTCATGTGCCACTGGCTGTTGTAGATGGTGCTGATACCACAAGAACATGGACACAGCTGTTAAAAGCCAGCGCTGAATTAAACCAAAAACAGACAAAAAAGAAATTGTATGTACGTTGCAGTATAACAGCAAAAATGGCAAGGATCAGTGTCCACTAACTTCAGGTTTAAATAGGCAATTTTACTGTCAAATTACAATGGTTTTATAACTTTTATAAGAAAAGAACTTTTATTAAGAAAACATGACTGGTTCTAGTATTATTTATTTAAAGTCTTCACAATACTCTGCTCTGCCTTGTCAAAGCAGGAAAGAGATCCAGTTACTGCATAAAGAGCTGGAGGTGTTGTCCTTTCAGCACATCCAGAAATGTCTGGAAAACTCACAGCTCAGGGTCAAGAGCTGCAGACTGAGAGAAAAGCCCTGGATCAGTACCAAACCGAAAACCAGGAGCTAAAAAAGAAACAGGTAAAACATTTGAAAATTAAACTGCTGTAAAGATTTTATAGTTTGAGCTACTACCACTGTTGATGATTTTATTAATAATAATTCTTTAATCTTTATATCACAGGCAATTCTGAAGGCAGGTGAGGCACAAATGCAGTGTCTGAGACAGGAGGCTGGTTCACTCAGGGAAGAGCTGAAGATCGCTCTGATGGTACCAAATAATCAAAATCTCAACTCAAAAGTTAAAGAATCAAAGAGGAACTTTGGAAAATCGTTTTAAGAAGAAGATGAAGAAGATGAAGACGTGATATAATAATGAGACTGATAAACCAATGAAAAGTTATCTTTTATCTTCTGCTGCTGTCAACTTCTTTTATTAACTTATAAAGACTCATTTTACGATATGTACTTTTATAAGCATCAGTGTCTTAGATTTGGCATCAGATGACCACTGGGTGGAGTAAGAGAATACTGACTTCTCCAGTCGACCAGTGCATCGTCACAGCTCACTTTAATAAGTTTATCATTGAGTACATTAAAGGTAAACAAAACTTTGTATATTTTTTCTGAACAGAAAAGTCGACAAACAATTACAAATTTCACACGTGCAACAATTTAAATTTTATCAGTGAATCAGTTTTTTAAAAATGTAAACACAGAGAAGTATTTAGCAATTTTGCTTTCAGATAAAATACAAGTTTAGACTCTTTTTTTCTCTTATTGTGGAGTGTTTTCATATGTATTTATATATTTTCTAAATGTTATCTCTGGTTGTGTATTTAAATGCGGATGATGTAAACACTGCCGCTGCTCTAGTGTGATGTTCGAACAGTAACATCCGAATGTGATAAGGCCAACTTCTGTCATAAAGAGAGGCTTCAAATATCCTTTTGAATTTTCTATGACAAATACACTGCAATACATTCAGCTGTCACATGAGGTGACTTTCAGCTTCTCTCATGACAACCATAACAACTTATTCAGGTGTGAATCCCCTGTAAAATGATAAATGAATGTTCCCAGTGTCCTCGCTCCCAAATAGGAATACTGCACCTCATAAAAATTCAACACCTTCTTTCACAACGTGTAACTCCGGCTGAGGTCATCTGAGTTGACGCAACCCTCTATGAGTGATGCTAACAGGCTTGGACCCATAGCCTCAACACGTCACATGTCATACTGTCTGGTTTTCAAGGAAAACAACTTGGCCAAACAACACAGACTCTTTCGCCCAAAAGTATTGGGCGTGGAAACTACATTTGGCTTAATTCAAAGCCAAGTTCAACGCAGTGCTATAATGTAGCAGAAGCTAAGCCGTTTCCCCAGCCTGAATTCAGCAAAGTAGTTTGACCCATATTTTTAGTTTTCCTCATTCTGAAAGCTCAGCAGGTATAAAAATGTCAACACAAACTCATGATACAAACTGTTGAATAACGTGTCAATTGATAAATTTGGTTTTCCGAGGTCTGGCGTCTCTTCGCAATGTTTTGTTTTGGGATTTTTTTACACACAGAACTCTCCTGACACCTTGGTTTTATTTTCTGCATTCCTCTGTGTGTGTGTGTGTGTGTGTGTGTGAGATGAAGCGCTTGTTTCCATGTGCACCTGCAGCATCGAGCTGCCCCAATAATGCGACCAGTCTTCATGAGTGATCAGTGGGCGATGTGAAAACACCAGCGCACAGGTGCACCTGCTCAGGCTGTAAAAATAAATGGCCCATTTAGTCAAGAAAAGATCAATTACACCAACCGGCTCGGGAGCTGCTCAGCCTGCTTCCCCAATTATACACTTCAGACTGGTTTGCACCAGAGCTGAAGGGACCACAACTGTGATGAACTCTCCCGTCACGTGAAACTTCTGTCGTTGGGATTTTTAAATCACTGCTCAGTACTAAATCAGATGCCGTGGCGTGTGACCCACATGCAACATGTTTGCACGACCCACAGGTCAGGTGTTGATGCAGCCTGTGTGTTCTCAGCTGATATCTGAAGTGAATGTAAGCCTAAACTAAATTTGGCTAACTCCTCTGTCTGCATGAGATCATCATTCACACAACTGACATTATGTTCTAATTACTAAGAGGCTTGTGAATGAGAATACTAACTCTCAGCGAAGCAGTTTGTTGTAATGTAACTGGTAAAAATTAACACAATTCCCCTGCAGACTTTCAAACTTACAGTCTGGTGACTACTGCTATTCCATATTTTACAATTAAAAAATATAAATCTAGCATTTTATTGACATCGTGGAATTTAATTAAAATGAGTGAAATGTATACAAAAATAATCTGTCTGAAAAGATCCAAAACATGCAGATTAAACTAAAATGACAAGTGAACCAAATATAATTACAAACTCAATCAAACACAAAATTTCATCTTAGATGAAATAAAGGTATTTCAAAATAGCATTGCCTTCATGGAGTGTTGTATACCGCATTGCCTGGACAAACAGGTTATACTGCATATTAAAAGAGAAATTGAGCTTTAGTTCCCAAGCTACAGAGACACAGGGAGCAGGAGCAGGAGCAGCAGGAAGCTGCTGAGAGCGAAGGAAACAGACGGTTACACCTGCTACGCTCCTGATCCTGGGTGTTCTGCCAGGAGCAGTTTCACTCATGTCAGACTGAGCAGACTAAGTAAACATCCTGTGCTGTGACACTACACGATATAATACTTGAAAATAATCAAGAGAGAATGTGTGCTGACGATTTGAAAGCTGATCAAACTGGTCAGAGTGGCTGGCTCTGACCTACTTCACACTGCTGCATCAGGGTCTGTCCTTAGATAACTCCCTGCATACAGCACGGGTCGGACTGCGGGGGGCGCTTGACTATCACACACCATCTCTTAAGCAAATACAATTTATCATCATTTATCTTTCAGGTCAAGAGGGACGTTTTTGCACCAAGAAAAAAGCAAATTAATGAGGAAGTAAAGGAGGAAATGAGAACAGTAAAGAGATCAAAGACTGGAAATTAGATTACGAAGGAACTTATGACGGGCTGCTAAGAGAACAATTGTGGCATCTATGGATTTCCTAAAGTGCATAAGATGGGTGCTCCTCTTAGACCCATAATCAGCAGCATCAATTCTGTCACTTACAACATGCTAAACATCTGTCTATTGTATTAGCACCACTGGTCGGGAACACACCACATCACATCAAAAATCCTCTGCACTTTGCTAACAAAGTTAAAGAACTCAAAGTGGAACCAGATGAGACAATGGTTTCATTTGACGTCACTTCACTTTTTACTTGCATTCCCACTTATGATGCCATCAAATTGACCAGAAAACACGTACTAAAAGACACAACTCTAGCTGACAGAACTGCCTTAACTCCAGACCAGATTTGCACACTCCTAGACCTCTGCTTAACCACCGCTCATTTCCAGTTCAATGGCAGTTTTTACAGGCAAAAACATGGATGTGCCACGGGGTCTCCAGTATCTCCCATTGTAGTCAACCTCTACATGGAGGAAGTAGAACAAAAGGCACTAGCCTCCAACAAAAAATACATTTCAACCCTCTCCCTGAAAACAAGATCACAGTTTCATTTCAAAGGACACCCAGCCAAAAGTGTCGCTCAGGTGAAACTATTACCTGGTGACTTTACATTCCACCCTCCTTTGAATAGGGTGTGTTTGACCACACCTCCATCCCCCCTTTCTGCAACGACCCTCGTTACAGGTATGTAGCCCCCTGAAGGCTAAATACCAGAATTTCCCAGTAGTCAGTCAGAACTGAAAAAGCCTGTTGGACGAGAGGCAAAACGTCTTAAAAAAAAAACCAACTTTGTCCAGTTGCTTTCAATGTAATTGTTTTTTGGATTATATGACCTGGAAGACTGAGAACCTACACAGACTTTTGTGGTAATGTGGCAGTGCGCAGCCAGGGTGACAGCCGATAGAAGAGAACATATTTACCCAGCAACACTTTCACTCTGACATTAAATGCCTGTCATAATAATAAAATTGGATCCGACACCACAGAGCCTCTAAGTCTCTATTTTACTCCTCAAAGTGTTCAATTGTGCCTTGTATCTCTTGACTGTGACATAAATCTGCATAGCCACTGTGATCATTTCCCAGTCTATTCTGGACTCTCCAATGAATATCAATCAGGAATCACAGAACTGG